GTGTCAGGCCAGCAGTGACCAACCCATGTCTCGACCTGCTGCAGGGCACCAGCTCCAAGGCTCCCGGCTGACACCCACACCGAAACTGCTGCACAGTGACAAGATTAGTTATTAAGATGACCAATTTCTCCTGGAGACCGTGGCCCAGTACAGCTGACATTCTATGATACCACCAGAATTTAACAAACCACTTCTCCTGAATTTGATCTTTGTAATGAAAGATGTGTGCAAGAACGCTTTTAATTGGGATAGTAGGTCTTGACAGGCTCATGCAGACATGGAAATGATATGTCTGAGCCGGTATGGGACTGATAGTTAAGAAGTAGTTGAATACTCCATGCAAAATGCAAAGCTGAGTGTTTTCTTTGGGTCTTTTCTAACATCATTCCCTCGTGTAAACACAGTCTGTATGATCTGCATTAACTCTTCAGGTTACTTCTGAAATACTATGATCTCTCTTCATGGCTGTTGTTTTGGCTGGGGTCTGCAGTGATTTTTGCCTTCCAGGCACAATTCAATTCAATTATGCCCACAATTAAGTAGTACACAGTCTGCTTCCAGAGCCCAGGAACTCAGATGGAGTTTGGCTGAACCCAGAGACAGATTTTGGTTCTGTTCTTGCGTTTCTCCCACCCATCTCCCAGAAACTCCCAAATACAGGCATTAATAGGCAGGAGCAGCCTTTCCCTTGCCTCTCTGAGAAGAGCAGCATCACTGCAGCACCTCGCACCAGTTAGTACTGGTAGACTGAAGGAGCACAGCTGCAGGAACCAGGAGCTCATGTCACTGCCCACCAGGTTTTTCCCCTTATAAAAGAGAGGCTCATCACCCCACTCAGGCTCCTGCCATTCTGCAAACGGGGGCAGTTTGGGCTGCTCAGGTGATGATGGGGATCCCATGGATACTTGGCTGAGGAGCAGCGTGTTGCTGGAGACTCTGCTGATGAGAGATGTGGGCTAGGCTAGAGCAAAGGTAAATCTCTTTCTTTGAGTCTATGGATTTGGGGTTACATCAGAGCAGGAGAGCTTTGCTCCCTGTCATCCTTGCTTTCGGGCATGGAAGAAGCGCTCCAGCGGACTGCGGCTGGGGAGCAATTATCTGAGTGACTGTAAATGTAAGACTGCTGTGACTGGTGCTGCTTCCCGGCTCCTCCTGCGAACAAAAAGGGGGAATATCTGGTGCTGCCTGTGTGAACTGGCAGGCTTCAACCGGCCTGATGTGCAGACAGGCAGCAGGAGAGGTTCCCACCCAGCACCGCACTCCTCAGGCTGTAGACTTTCAAGTGCAAATGACTGACTTTAAGGCAGGGAGAGCACAGTATAAATGAAAGAGGAAAATGCAAGGTCAGGTCTGAGTGGTCAGCCCTCTGAAGCCAGCTCTTGCAGGAGAGCTGGTAACTCCATCTTTTGTGTCCTGTTGCCTTTTTGAACAATCTTCTTGGTGCCATGCAGAAGCTAGTTCCTCCTGTTCCTCTGTCTTCCCTGTCCCGTCCACTAGCACCACGTAGAAATCTCCTAGAGACAGAAAGCTGGCACCCATGGATAAGTTTGTCAGGACTGTGTTCTATGCTCTTCCAAACCTGTGTAGGCTTTGCAGTTTTAGCAGGAATAGTAATATATAGGCGGCTTATTTGCCTTTTATTCCTCATCCATCCTTGTCTAATGAAAATGAGGGTGGTTTAATGGTGCATTTTCATCCATATGCTCCTCTCCTCTGACCACTCCTTTTGCCTACTGTGGATTCCAGCACTGTGCTGCTTAATGCTCTTCCTTCCTGCACTTCACTTCCATGGTGTAGATACATGACTATGCAGTCCTAAAGGTAATCTCACCTTGTTTAGCTAATGAGAAAGGAGGAGAGCATTAAGGTCTCTCTTTAAAGCATTTTTGGCCTGAAACCGAACCTTAACTTCTCTTAAAACCAGATTGTTTTGGAAAGAAAAGATTCTCTTCCAATCCTTTGTTTTAGTCAAAACCAGGGAGCACTGCAGAGTAACACACGTCAAGCATGCAAGCTTAATTTTGATTAGACTTCCTAGCAGAAATCTCAGTTCCAAAGATTTCTTTTTAAGCTGTGATGGGGTGATGTTCATCAACTGGAGCTGTGCATGTGGCCCGGTTGGTATGAAATGGAAACAAAAGAGAATAAATTAAGGCAACAGCCACAGGAAACCAGGGTCATTTCTCTGGGAACGAACTCCAGATCCGTGCCTTTCCACAGGGTGAAGTGCTTCTGCTGCCGCTGCGTGCTCTGGGTTGAATCACTCACCATGGGCAAGTCCCGTTCCAAAAGGAGGCGTTGCTGTTTAGTCCTGTAAGCAAAATACGACATTTTACAGGCTAGATATGTTTGCAGCCATTAGAAATGAAGGTGTTTATCCCCGCAGGCGTGTGACTCCGAGGCTGGGACCTTACGCAAGAGCGGACACATGACTCTGCTGGTGCCACCCAGAGCCAAGCCCTGCTGCTGATGGATGGATCCTGCTCGCGCAGGGGAACACGGCCAGCGCTCAGCTCCACGGAGCTTTTTGCAGCATCAGGGAGTGGCTTCCTAAAACCAAGCTGCTCTTCCTGCCTCCTGCTTCAGCCAGGGTGGCTCCTGCCCCCGGCACAAGCAGGAGCAGGGCAGGACAGCGTGGATGGAGGCACCCAGTTTGTAAGTGTGGTGTAGCCCCCTTGCCCTTTGGCCAAGCGTTAGCCCAGAGGCACCTTCCCAAGGCCACATGGGCCAGGTTGCACAGGGGGGGACCTCAGCTCTGTCCATGTTTATTATGAACTCATACTGGGACATGCTTGCACCTGGAGCACTGTGTGTAGGGTAGTGTCTGTGCCCTGTTCAGCTCTCAGTGCAAACAGCCTTAATCCTGAGTAGCCCCCCTGCCCCCAAAGCCCCTATAACCACTGGCAATGATGCCCCAGGTGTGTGGCAGAGCTGCCTGCCCAGCAGCTCTGGGGACAGAGCCCTCCCCACACCTGGCCAAGGGGCTCTGGGCTGCGGTTGCTGCCCACCGTATGCAGCCACGCTGCAGCGTGCCAGTCCTGCCTGGCCACTGCTGACCTGGCTCCAGGCTTGAAATGGGGTGCTGCGCTCAGGCAGAGGGGTTGTCAGTAACTTTTTGGCTCCTTCTCCCTTTTAGAGCCAATCTGCGTGTGACACTGTTTGCTGAGCAACCTGCTGGGTTTTCAGTCAGACCTTATCCCATGCTGCTTCTCCCGGTTTCCTCGCTGATGCACAGGTTTACTGCTGGCCAGCCCAAAACTAATTGAGTTGATTGCTTAACTACCAACAAGGGTTTCCCTGCTTTTGTGAAGTGTAGATAATCAGACATCATTTCCTCACCTGCCTTGGATTCTTTACTGGATCAGTACTATTCCCTCTGCTTTGTGCACACCTTGGCGGGGGTTTGTGAAATGAGGCAGCTTTTGCAGAAGGATGACCTCCCTTTCTTCCCGTGCAAAACCAAAGCTCCACTGATGCCTGTTTGGAGAGGAATTAGGAGCCTGGCTCTGGGTTTAGTCAGTACGAGCCTATTTAGTATTCACAACGCTGTCTTGAAAAGCTGATTGTACCGCAAGGTCAGTAATGAAAACTACTGAGTGCAACTTTATCTTAATGCTGCAAGCAGTTAATTAACATCAGTAAATTGCTTAGTGCAATTGCCTCCGCGGGTCAGCCCCTCTCTTTAAAGAAAGCCTACGTTAGTTTGGAAATTAAATTGCCTGTTAGGAACAAAGCCGCTTGCTTTATTAGCAGAGACTTTCTCTGTGCGTCCAACACTGAAAGCCAGGATGATCCTTTCACGGTAAGCTGTTAGTGCAGCTTTTCAACACGGCTGCGATGGGAGAGACCCTGGAGATGGTGCAGGTTGGAAGGGACTGCCGGGAGCAGTGGCAGGTCCCAGGCAACCCATCCCAGTCCGGCAGTGCTGTGGAAGACTGCATCTGCTTATTGTACTGGAAGCAATTGCACAAATCCCGTCTCATGTGCGTCCTGGGTTGCCAGAGGCCCAAGTTTCTGGTTCAGATCTCATCATTTGCAATGCCCAGCTGCTGTCTGGGTCACTCACACTCCCCCAGTCAAGACATACTAAAGGTTAAAAAGCATTATTTAGCTTTATCAGAGCTTTGACTGAATCATAAATCTATACTACACAGTCATTTTTCAATCATATACAAGTTTATTACAGAAATAAGCCACCTTTGTTATAAAAGATGCACAAGATAAACATCGACAGCATCAGCTGGGTCTCAGGCTTTCATCTCTCTCATTTTGGGCAGCTCTTCAGGTTCTGCCACTAACACAGAGACTGTGGCTTCTTAACTGTCTCTTCACGATGAATGTGGATGCTCATGCATCTTCTAAGTGCTATATCCAGGTTGTTGGGGCCAGATGTGAGAGCAGAGGAGGCAGTGGGATGTCTGTGCAGCCATCCGGCTGCAGGCACTGTGTGAGGAGCACTTGTGCGTGGGGGAGCGTTGCTGAGCCCTGCCCGGTGCCGTTGGTCTGACAGTTTTGTATGTGGCAGTGGTGTTTTGGGAGGCACTTGCACAGGGCAGGTGAGTGCTCAGGCCTCAGAAGCTTTGATAAAGTTATCAAAAATCCATAAAATCCTAAAGGAGTGGCAGAGTCCTGCAGTTCTTCCCAGAGAAGCTTTATCCGTGGGCAACCCCTTTTAAAATAAGCCAAACCCCCAATTCCATGGCTTCCCTGTTGCAATGAATCCCCAAATGCATTAAAGACCTTGTAGGAGAATACGCCCCATCCGCATGCTGAGTGATGCTTTCCATAAATAGCTCATATACACTTGCTATATACAAAATATTATGTACACGTGGCACTGCTTTATTTGGTGTGAAGCTCCCAACACCTCTCATGGCACCACTCCCAAGATGCTGGGGCAGGAGATCACAGCAGAAGATGCTCATGGTTGTGCTGCCTGAGGACAGGCGGTGAAGGCACCGGGGTCCAGGATGAAAGCAGCAGCCCCGTTGCTGGTGGGGCTATTCCTTCAGCAGCCCGAGCTTCTTCAGTGCCTCTCGCCTGTTCTCATCCGTTGCGCCCTTGGGGGAAATCTTCACGCTGACGCTGGAGCGGGATGGCTTGGGGAAGCTCTGCAGCGGGTGGGATCGCCACTTGCTGCCCTTTTCCGGCTCCACCTGCCCAGGCTCCTTCAGACCAGCAAAGTCCTTCCCTGCCCCGAGGGATACTGGCCGGGGGCGGCTGCTCCTGAGGAAGCTTGGGGCGAGCCTCTCGATGAAGGACATCTTGCCCAGGGAGCTGCTGGTCTTGACGCTCTGCTCCTTGGTGCTGGTCAGGTAGCTGCTCAGCCCCACGCCGGAGCGCTCCAGGGTGTTGGATTTGAAGTTCATCTGCCGGATACCTGGCGCTGACCTCTCCGCCACCCCGCAGAGTGCCTCAGGCTCTCCAGTGGCAGGCAATGGCATCTGCCTTGGCTGGGCTTGCATGGCAGGTTGAAGGTGAGTGTTGGAAACCCTCCTGTCCTGAGACAGTCCAAGCTTCTCCAATGCCTCCTGCCGGGCTTTCTCCCTCTCCTTGGGGTCGAGGTGCCCCAAATTAGCCTTTTCGGCTGTGGTGTTGCTGGCAGAGCTGGGCTGAGAGCCGGCTGAGAATGGTGGTGGTGCTTTTACTTTGTGGCCGAGCTCCGTGGTGAGTGGCACTGGGCTGTTTTTGCTGGTTTTCAGGATAATATTTGGTGGCAGTTTCCGTGGCTTTGGGGCAGTTGGAGGCCCACGCTTGGCATCTGGGTCCTGAGGGATCTCTTCCAATTTCTCTGGCTGGCCCCATGAAGTCCAAGCCTCTGTCTCCTTGACTGTTTCCCTCTTGGCATCTGAGCGATTGCTACGTGACCACTCATGGCTCACCAAGTCATCCTGGAAGGGATCTGGAGGTTGGATAATCAAAGATCCTAGGGACTTCATCTGGCTTCTTGTGTTGGCTTGGTCGAGCCTGTACTCCTTGGCCATCTCCTGTGAAGATTTACCTACTGGCACTGGGTCCTCCACTGTGCAGACCGTCGCTTTGCTGTCAGAAGCTCCGTTTGCTCTTTGTGCGTTTGCGACAGTGATGCTCCTTGGAAGACTGTAGTAGCCTGGGCTTGCTTGGTCGAGCCTGTACTCCTTGGCCATCTGTGAAGATTTACCTACTGGCGCTGGGTCCTCCACTGTGCAGACCGTCGCTTTGCTGTCAGAAGCTCCGTTTGCTCTTTGTGCGTTTGCGACAGTGATGCTCCTTGGAAGACTGTAGTAGCCTGGGCTTGGAACAGCTGCTGGAGCTGAGCTTGAGAAAGTGGAGATGCTCTTACTGCTCTTCTGTTCAGCTGCACGCTGATGACCTACACTCGGAGGGGGAGCCCTGCTTTCCAAATCTAGGCAGAGAGAGAGAGATGTGAAGTCATGCACCGTTCTGCACATGGACACAGGACACCTTCCTGTGTGCAAAACACTTCTTCATGCCTGATAAACCAGTGTGGCCATGGCAGAGTACCTGCTCGCAGGGAGTTTACCCTGACTCCAGCTAAGACGCTGTCTAAGAGAGCTGGATACTTCGGATTTGACAAGGCACACGTCAAATAAGGAGCTTTGTTCATCTGTGTAAACCTGTTCAGAGCAAAGATGGGCTGCCCTGAGGTTGTTGGCCTTGCTCAATAGCTGCTACCAGCACGTGAGAATGGGGAAAATGCAGCTTGTGCCCTACCAACCTCGCTGCCTGCAGCCACTGCTCACCAGAGCGACGAGAGCAAGCTGGCATTAGCCCACCACGTGATTCAAGCTGGGGCGATGCTCCCCCCCGTCTGCCGAGGGAACGCACCCCAGCGTGAAAGTGCCTTTGCAAACAAGGCCGGAGCGCGGGTTTCCAGCTTACCCCGGGGAACGGAGTCTCTCTTAGGCCACGTCCCAGGCAGCTTGGAGGGCTCCACGTAGTCAGTCTCATCGGTGGAGACCCCGCTGTCCGCTTCGGCATCCAGTGAGCCAATAGTTTCTTCTAAGAACATCAAACACT